AAGCATATTTATGCTGTTATTCTTTGCTATTTTTCTTCACTATTAAAAAACATCAAACTATCTTGCTAACAACAACAAAAAATTAAGCAGCCACAGCAGCAGCTACTCACACCCAGAGAACTTATCCAGAATATTCAGAAAATGTTGCAAATTTAAGTGATCTTGATGTTAACTCTTTACAAATTGTTCACAATCAATTGTCCAGAAACCTTGAGAATGTGTGTAGACCAGATAGAAATTTTTAGGAAGATGATTGGATTAGCAACCAGAATATATATATATATTTTTTTTTTGTTAAGGTGTCTTTCGAGACCAAGCTTTTATTGATGTTTGTCATTGATAATATGGATCTATATTTTAGTATTACAGAAGTACTACCCACAAATTATTTCTAAGCTAGGTATCTTTATACTGAAGTGTCCTCTACTATTTTACCTGGACTTGGTTACTCTGTTGGTTACCTATAGGTCCCTACAAGTAGGCATAGTAGATGCACCCTAATTCTTCTATGTTTCACACATTTCCAAATTAGATTCAAAGAACCTATCTGCTATGGCCGAAACCAACACTAGCAGTCAGAGCTAACCATTAAACCACACAATTCCTGGTCTCCTGCCCTTATAGAGTTTGTCCAAACCTCAGTACCTACTATACAGACTACTAATTATACTTCTGGCTTTCCCAAACTCCAAATCCAGATGGCCCGAAAGGGTGGATCCTTTTCTCCGACTGACTTGATGGCCTGGTTAGTATAGTGCTTGCCAAACACTTTAGTCCTGTTTAGTTTTTTCTTTTTCCAGATGATAATCCTTTATGTAGTACCATCAAAAGTCTGTGCTACCTCTCTATTCAGGTCTTGCCAAGCAGGCTTCTGTGTGCTCCAAACCACTTGATTTATTCAGTTGTTTACCTCAGGATTTGTATAACTCTTTTATCACACTAACATTCCACAACCTTTCAGTATGAGCTGGTATAACGTCTACAGATCTAATGATCTGTTTGATTGTACACAGTCTGCCTTAACACATTTCTTAAATTCAAATTTTATCACCAGTGGGAATCGAACTCTTGTCCTGCTGCTTGGGGTGTGACAACTTACCAACTCCACTAAGTCTCCACACCCTTTAGCAACCAGAATATTAAACTTCCATCCAATCTGAGTGTAGAAAAGCAGTAAAGATAAAATTTTATATTCTTTATCATTATGATTATTATTTAACCAACCTATATTATAAAATAAAGATTTTAATTAAAGATTTTGCTGTTTGCTACTATAAAACAATTGTTCATTAATAATATTTATTAACATATCTGCTAAGTCTTTAGTCTAAATTAAAAAGTCATTATCTGTTAATGTTAAGATTATGTCAAACCTAAGAATGGCTCTGAAAGTATTTTGGCATGTCGAAAGTCATATCAAAATTGAAAGTCCTACTGAAACTCAAAAGTCTTACTGAAACTCAAAAGTCCTACCAAAACTCAAAAGTCTTACCAAAACTCAAAAGTTCTACCAAAACTCGAAAGCTTTACCAAAACTCAAAAGTCCTACCAAAACTCAAAAGTCTTACCGAAACTCGAAAGTCTTACTGAAACTTGAAAGTCTTACCAAAACTCAAAAGTCTTACCGAAACTCGAAAGTTTTACTAAAACTCGAAACTCTTACTAAAAGTCTAAACTCTTACCAAAGTCAGAACTCATTTTATGAACAAATCACGTGATACAGACTTCAACAAAGGCAAATCAGATCTTGATACAGATTTTTGGATATGATGATTGTAAAAAAAATTATGTAACCGCACTACTTAAAATCAGAAAGTCTACGGACATGTCAGGTCACATGATATTTCGCTTATAGACACATACCGATCATGTGATAGTAAATAGTTATCTCTATCTTATAAAATATAATTTCAACAAAATGCAATTTAATTATCATCTCAATCAACCCAATATAAATACAATAAGGGTAAAAAGTATTCATAATTTTGATTTTAATATATTACTCTTTACGAGTGTTATCGATCATATTTTTTATTACACTAAAAAGTAAATGATTAACAATATGGGTTATCAAAAAAATCAAGGAGATTGGCATTTTAAAAAAAATCAATACACTGTAAATAACTCGATGAATTTAAAACTATTCTTATAAATAAATAGTCAAATAAGAGCTTAAGATTTAAGCTTTTTTTGACTATTCAATCATGAAAATAACATCGAAATTCATCAAAATATGAGTAGCAAAATTTAAAATATGAATTTTTTTTTAAAAAATGTCAATTTGCTTAATTTTTATTGACAGCAGCCCATATATTTGTAAGGCACAATACCTTTTTTATTTTACTCTTCACAAAATGGTATTAAAAGAAAAATTCTTTCGTCAATAACTAATCTTTGTAAAATGAAGTAAATGCTTAGTAAAAATTAATTATAAAATTATTGTATGAATTTCTTATATCTATGATTTGATATATAAATTACAATATATAATGATGTTATAAAATGTTTATCATTTTAAACTTTATAATAATTTATAAAATCAAAAAACTCTTACCTATTGTTTGATTTTTTTTCTTTATTAAATAAATATACCCACCATATGTGAATAAATTCTTTTGACTTTGATTATTTTATATATTGATGTTACAAATATTCATATAAAATTACATATAAAATTATAAACAATAATAGAGTTTACTATATTTAAAGTAAATGACTAACCTAACTGCTAAGGTTAACAGGTTCATTTTCTCAAGAAAAGATAGTAATCTTACAAGATGTGGAGGTAAATCACCTTTCATCATTATGCAATGTACCAAAGGTAGAGAATGGCATAACAACTGGAATATAGAAGAAGAAACTCGAAAAAGAAAAAAAAGACTAAATATATAGATTGTCCTGTATACATTAGAGCTGTTGCAGTAAAATGTTATCTGACTACAGATATCATAAAGTCAGAATTTTACAGAAGTTGCACTTGTGCATAATCATCATTTATTTATAAGGTCACATGATTGGTACATGTCCGTAAGTATATCTAGTAATTAACCCACAAAATTTTTTTTGACACATGATTACTGTTACAATTTTACACCACATCACGCATTTTCCATTTTACTATTAAAATGTGATCAGCTAAATATTTTTCATTTTTTTCAGTTCTTTTTACGACGCCCTTTTGGTGCTTTTTACAACGTTTTTTTGGTGCTTTTTATGACGTTCTTTTGGTGACCTTTACGATGTTTTTTGGTGCCTTTACGACATTCTTTCAATGTCTCTTATGTTGTTCCTTCAGTATGTTTTTTTTTTTTTTTTTTGTGCTTTTTACGCGTTTTTTTTGTGTTTTTTACATCATTTTTTTCAACGTTCTTTTGGTGCTTTTTACTATGTTCTTTCGGTGACCTTTACTACGTTTTTTCGGTGACCTTTACGATGTTCTTTCGGTGACCTTTTTGACATTCTTTCAGTGCCTTTTATGTCATTCCTTCAGTATGTTTTTATTTTTTTTTTTTGTGCTTTTACACATTTTTCAATGATTTTTACCTGTTTTTTCACGCTTTTTACGTCATTTTTTCAGTGTCTTTTCATCGTTTCCTCGGTGTTTATTTTTAATATTCTTTCGGTGCTTTTTTTCATCATTTTTTTGGTCGGTGTCTTTTTCGTTGTTTCTTCGGTGTTTTTTTTGTTCTTCTTTTATCGTTCTTTCAGTGTTTTTCTACATTTTTTTTGGCATTTTTCGGTACTTTTTTTTCACATTCTTTTAGACATTTCTTTGATGCTTTTTCAACGTTATTTCAGTGTTTCTTTCGACATTCTTTAGGTGTTTTTTTCTCATCGTCCTTTTGGTGCTTCTTTTTTGTTGTTCTTTTGGTGCTTTTTTGACATTTTTTTGGTGCTTCTTTCGTTGTTCTTTAAGTTTATTCGATAATTTACTAACTCATTTCGAATCCTCACATAGAGCAACCCCATATAAATTTTGATGCAACT